TAATCTAGCTAGGAAGAAGTCTTTGCTTAAAGCAAACATTCTTTTTTTTTCTTTTCAATGCTAGGGATCAAACCCAGGGTGTTGTACGTGCTAGGCAAGCACTCCACCACTGAGCTACATCCCATTGCTAAAATACAAATTTTCAAAGAGGCAAATATATAAAATAGCAAGTTACAGAAAAGTAAAAAGTAGGGGGCAATATTTGATAGCCATCAGAATGGGGGGGAATATTTTTTGTGGCAGTTCTAGGGATTGAACTGAGGGCCACTCCTTTGCTAGGCAAGTGCTCTGCCACTTGAGCCATGCCCTCAGTCCAAGAAGTGGGGGTGATCTTTAATAAGCCAAACAACAACATTTAAAAAACACTAAAAAATAAACACTTTAAATTAAAAAAACAACAGCTTTGACTATTTAAATTTTAATTATGAGAAACGTCATAGCAAGATCAAAGATACACAACAAGCTTGGTAAAAATATTTGCATAATACATGATGATAAACTTCCTGCATCCTAATTTTAAAGAGCCCCTACTAATTAAGAGGAAAAAGTCAGAAGATTAAGACTGTTTAGAAAAGAGGACATAGAAGAGAGTAAAAACTCAAAAGAAAGCACCGCCTCAGAGAGCCAAGTGTGTCATAAAAAAAGTGAGATACATTTTTCAGTGCTCTCAGGAGACTTAAGAAGACATTGATTGCATCCAGAGTAAGCAAGATTGTGAAATGCAACCGTCTTTTTGGAAGGTAATCTGGAGTGTTTATTAAATAAAAAACACTGTGTTTGAAACATATATTTGGCATAGTGATTCCGTTTTGGAAATCTGCTCTAGGGAAGTAAAAGTATCAGTTCAAGTGAAATGCATCCAATAGAATTTCTTATAACAATATTTATAATGGCAAAATCTAAAGGTGACTGATGAAGAGGTTGAAAAATTATGGTGTACTTAGATTATGAAGAAGTCTGCAGTTTTCATTTTATTTATTTCTTTATTTTTGCAGTACAGGGATGAAACCCAGCACCTTGTACATGCTAGGCAAGTACATTGAGCTACACCCCTGGTCCATCTATAGTTCTTTGAAAAATGGACAGTCTGAGGGGATGTCTATGACACATTAAGAAATTAATGAAAGAAAAAGTCCTAATCATTGAACAAGCAAACATAAAATTCAAAAAAAAAGAAAAGGAGAAGGAGCTTATACAAACACTTGTGAATTATCTAAGTCTTAATTTTGGAATAGAGCACTGTCAGCTAAATATTTCCTCTTTAAAATTTTACTCACATCTGGGCTGTAGCTCAATGGTGGAGTACTTGCCTAGCATGCACCAGACCCTGCATTTAATTGCTAGCACTGTGAAAATATTTTTTTTTACTAAGTTTTATCCTTTACAAGTATGATTTTTGTAGAAAGTCTCTCTTCTGAAGAGCAACTGGGGGTGTTACCATTTGAGTTAAATGTGAAGGAGTCATTTCACTAAGATTTTACTAAGGCTTACCTGAAAAAATATGATCATGAGGAAAGGAAGGCAGAGAGAATATTTTCATAGCACCAGTGCATTGACCCACTGGCTCATGCTTTGATTTGTACATTTATTCAATATGTACTTAATGAACTCTTCCAATGTGCTGCAGCATGAGGCTGTGTGGGGCCCAGGGATGGGGAGGACATAAGGTTCTTGCTTCTGGATGCTCACATCCAGGTGCACAAGCACTCACATAGGCTACCATATGTGTGTCATTCAGGAGGTCATGGAAAGTGTCCAGAGGGCGATAGACTCAGACTCCCAGAGGGAGAGTCTAATTCTGCCTTATGTTGCCAAGCTCTCTCCATGGTGTGTGGTTTCCACTGTGCTCTCAGGCAAGAGTATTTTTAACATCATTGAGGTGAAATGGCTGCTGCTTTGCCAAGAGTACAAACATAGTTCTGGCAGAAAATGATTGTTTAGCAGGCAGGGTGAGTAGAGGGAACTGTTGGTGCTGCATATTATGAGGAAGAACGATGTATGACTCATGGACCCAATGATGTCTAGAAGGCCCTCCTATCTCTTCAGAAGACCTTACATGAACGAAGGGTCTCCTTCCCCTGCTTTGTGGTACAACATTTACTATGCGCAAGGTGGTCTGATGTAAGAATTTAAAGCAATGAATATTAAAAAGTTCTCCAGACTTTCTGGGCTTGGCGTCAAAGTAAATAAACTTGCTTTTCACACTGGGTTTGTGTTGTGAGGTTCCCTTATTTGGTAGAGCAGTGCTGACAAAGTCTATGAACAGTTCCCAGCTGCCTAAACCAAATGTGTATTTTTTTGCAGCAATTGAAAGATAACATATTTTATTGGTCTGAAGGGTATCTCATTTCTGTTTATCTTATTTTTCCTAATTTTACTCATATATTCTTTCATTGGTTCTACCACCCAGATAGCAGCCTGAGCTTGCAAGTTGGGAATTGGGATAAGAGGTGGACAGAATAGATTTGGGGTGGAGGCACAAAAAAGGGGGTGAAATTGAATGCTAATAAATCTACTACTTGTATTCTCATCCTTCCTGATCTTTTGCTGGCATTTAGACATCATTTAGAACTCTCTCTTTCTCTTTTAAAAAAAGATTTCATGAAATATAATCTAGTTTTCTACTGATTAAAAATTATTTTGACAGTTAAAATTATATATATATATATATATACATATATATTCTATTACAACATGTTGTTTTGTCAGCTCACTTCTCTGGTGTTTCTTTACATGCACCATGGGCTCTTCTTCCTTTCCACATTTCAGAGGAAGGAAGACCTTTCCAAAGTTATGTATTTTCATATCTTAAATTTAAAATATTTGAAGTGCTAACTATTAATGTAATCAAATACTTTTTTTCCAATTTAAAGTGCAGAGTCAAGGCTGGGTGTGGGGACCTGTGCCTGTAGCTCCAACTACTTGGGAGAGTGAAGCAGGATGCTCACTTGAGCCCAAGAACTCAGGGCCAGACTGGGCAGCATAATTGCAGCATAATGAGACTTTCATTCAACCTCTCCCCCTGAAAAAACACCCCAAAAGCGAAGACTTTAAAACTGTATATTTGAAAAATCTAAAAACATGCTGTATTATAAATTTCTGAAGCAATAACTTAGTTCATATAATGCAATAAAAGTACAGCAATTGTCTTTGTTTCTTGTTGCTGTGATACAATACTGAAGCCTGGGTAATTTATAAAGAACAGAAATCTGTTTCCTCACAGTTTTGAAGGCTGGGAAGTCCAGAATCAAGGCACCATCCTTTGTTTAGTGAGGGCGTTCTTGGTGCATACTCATGGTGTGAGGTAAAAGGGCAAAAAAGGACTCACTTCTTCCGTCAAACCTTTTTCTATTCAGAAAACCTTAATCTTTTCAGGAGGGCAGAGCCTTTATGACATAAGTGCCTCCCCAAGGGTCCCACCTCCCAGTCCTTGCATTGAGAACTAGGTTTCAATGCATGACTTTTGGACACTTTCAGATCACAGCAGTAATGAAGATACAGAGTCTTTGAAGACTCTAAACCAAAGGACTCTTCTCCCTGACACATTAGTACTCAAAAATTGTTAAAATCCTTTTTACTGAGATAATTAATCTCAACAGTGAAAGTAAATAAACCAGTTGTCTATGTGGAGTCATTCCAGGTTTGTTTAACAAATCCAAGACTCCGTTCTGAGGCTTTCATTGGTTTTCCTGGTAAAGCTATGCTACATGACCCTTGGCTGTCATTTTGCTTTGGTTCACCCAGCTCATGATCCCACATTTACCTTCCCGAGGTGACCAGGTTCTTGTCTGTAGTGACGATGGTGGTGCAGTACTGACTTGTCCTTTGCCACTTCCAGTGGACATTCCATGACCACCTCTAACTTAACCTGTGCCTTCAAACTGATGCTAAGTGACTTGGTTCTTCTTTCCATTACAGCATTTTATTTGAAGCCCAGAAATCTTACTTGTTACTCATCACTCCACTTCAACTCCTATTTCTAATCATAGGACCACACAGTATCACAATTGGAAGAGAAATTTTAACTTGGTCCACTATTTCTCATTGATTTCCTTTCTCTCTGGTTCTGTTCCCTCCCTTGCTCTTTCCAGCTTGCTCTGTCTGAGGGTCAGTGACTATAGTGTCTGTTGCATACAATGGAAATTTTACCATGTGTGGTATTTGGCAATGTTTTCTTGATATTTAATAACACTTTGTTTAGTCAGCTCTGTGTTATTTTAACTTGTCCTGTTCCCCCTCCCCACCCTGAACCAAAACTAGACACAGATATCACAAGAAACTACAGACCCAATATACAAAAAATCCGCAACAAAATAACAACAAACTGAATCTAAGAAGAATAAAAGGACCACACGCCACGTCTAAGTGAGATTCATCCAAAATGCAACGTCAGCTCAATACTCAAAAATACTTGCTTTTTCTCGTCTCTTCTCTTCTCTTTTCCCTCCCTCCCTCCCTCCCTCCCTCCCTCCCTTCCTTCCTTCCTTCCTTCCTTTTTTTTCTTCCTTCCTCCCTCTCTCCTTTCCCTTTTGAAATACCAGGGTTTGAACTCAGGGCTGTGTTCTTGCTTGACAGGTGCTCTACCACTTGAGCCACATTCCCAGGCCTAGAGTTTTTTTTTTTTTTTTTCATGGAAGTAATGCTGTTATTGCACAGTCTTGTGACTATACTAAAATGGCTGAATACACTTTAAACGATATGGTTTATGAATAAAAACAATTGAATATGAAAGAATCCTATAGCATTTAGCAGAATATTTAAAGCAAGTAGCTGCTCAAATAATCTGCATGAATTGGTGGGTGACAATGACTGCTGGAAATGAAACAATCATTTGCTGAATAATAGAAGAGAAGCAAGTTCCAGGTAGCTTACCCCATGTAATCTCTAAGAAACTGAATCCCAGGAGTTGCTTTTGGTAAAGACTAATTTCTTAATATTGGCAAAGACTAAATTCTTAATTTCTAACTCCCCTCTAACCATCATCTTAATTTTACTTTCAGCATCAGTATGACAACCTGCTCCACAATGGCTGCTCTGGGAATGATGCCCCTCTGCCTTTATCTCTACACCTGGTCCTGGCATCTTGATCAGAATCTCACCATTCCATATCAGAACATAGGTATGTATTTGGCTTGGGAAATGGAGTAGAAAGAGTAATGGTGATAACTGGTATTAATTCTAAGTATCTCCTTATGCAGGATTTTTTGGTATTATCTAATTTAACTCCCCAAATAACCCTACAGTACAGATTGTATTGCTGGTCCAACTTCCTAGGTTTTTGGACTTAGAGAGGTTCAGTAACTTGACCAAGAGTACGTAACTCGTAAGTGTAGAACTTGAATTCTAATTCAGGAATCTAACTGTGAAGTCCAAACTCTTGACTTCTGTATATCAGTTGGCTTTTTGTTATGACAAAATACCTGAGGAAAGCTACTTATGAAGAAGAGAGGTTTATTTAGCTTACAGGTTTGAAGGCTAAAAGTCCAAACAGCATGGTACAGGTACCAGTGAGCCCCACTCCTTGGCTGCTTTGTCTCATGGTGGAGAGTAATGACAGTAGTGCGTGCACGAGAAAGCAGTCATGTCTTAACAGAAAGTCAGAGAGAGCTCTTTATTGATCCACCTCGGTCTAGTGGCTCTGATCACACCTTCCTTCCCCCAAATCACCTTCATGTTGCCTCTGAGTCTTGACTTTTTCTTACCAATTGAACATAAATGATTCCTACTGATCAGTCAAGCTTGTCCACATGTCACAGCCAGATGCAATCTTCTGCAAGTTATTTCTCACTAAACTCCACTCTTTTTCTAAAGATCTTTGTGGAGTTACTAGGCTTGGAAATTTCAGTTGGAAGAGAAATGTATTGAAGTGATCTGCCTGTTCTAGTTTGGTCAGAGTCTTTGGAGATGAGATAGAAACAGTGCATTATATGCATGTATGGAAGTGTCATGATGAAACTCCTTACTATGTATAATTTAGTATATGCCAATAAAAAGAAATTATCCCCCTAAATGAAACTATGATTCTTAAAACTCTGGAGTATCAACCTGTAGTCTCAAATTGGCACCTTCAGGATTTACATTGTAGCTCACAGTTTCAAACTATGAACAGAGACATCTCTTGATAACAGCTAGAGAGCCCACCGGATTTGTAAAATTTGAGTGTAAGTCTTAATTTAGAAATCAAAATTTTATGTGCAACTTTTCCCAGCCAGTAAGTTTATTTGACATATTCTGTTTTGGCATATGTTCTAAATGACACTAATAAATAACTAAAACATGAAATGTCTTGAGCAACTCATATAGATTTGGAGCCAGTATTGTAGGCATTTGGCCAGATCTGGCTCTGGAAAATGCCAGTGTGTGAATTGTATTGGCAAGTGGACAGTCACCTCTGCTTTACTGAGCCCGACTCAATGCCTTTATGTACTTGTGCTAAGTTACAAAGGTATTTTTCCACTCTTTGTGTTAACCTGGCTACACTTAGGAAGATTAGAAATTGCTTTGGTAGTGTAACAAATGACCTTTTATGTCTGTAAAAGGAATTCTTTACTTTGTGAAGCAAATGACCCACTAGCCATTACAGCTATGTAATTATAGAGGGTGGCACTCAAACATTGTGACCAGACAGTTTCAGGGACTATACTTTTCTAATGTTTACATTTCCTGTTGTCTCTAAAATTCTAATTGTCCCAGGGCTTCTGAGAGAGACATAGTGGCCTAGGTATGGTGGCATGCCTTACTATCATGATCTTCAGTGGCTATCTTTCAAAGGTTGTTTTCCTTTTTATTTTCAGATATGGAGACAGAAATAAAATGCAGCTTTCACTGAAAAAGTTATTGGATTGAAATAGAAATTGTTGGGAAGGTCTGGGTGGTTAGGGTGAGAAGCAATGGTGTCTGATGATTTTTCTTCTCTTTAGGAATTACCCTTGTGAGTCTGACCATTCCTGTGGCCTTTGGCATCTATGTGAATTATAGGTGGCCTAAACAATCAAAAATCATTCTCAAGGTGAGCAACTCCACATCACAGTTAGCACAGCCCTAGATACAAAGCCTTGAAAGACAGGAGTGGGCACTGGCTGGGACAAATGACCTGACCAAACACAGCCCCACAGCCTCCAATTTTCCAGACCTGTTCTGGCTTGGTATTCCTCACATTTCCTCACCTCTCTATACCTTGCTCTCTCACTCCCATGGGCCCATGCATGGACTTGTGACACCCCGGAAAACATGGAACTCTTAGAGACAGAAAAACTAAGACCAGAGTGTGGATACAGAGAGCCCAAGGCCTGCTCACTCACTAGCCTTTGCAGAATTGCTTTTGAGACAAAAACTCTTTAAGCCCAGTGTTTAGAAATATGGCTGCCTTCTTGGAAAAGTAGAATGAAGGGCTTTCTTGCTGAAGAACACCACTAACGTCATAGTTGGTACATGTGAACAAGGGCAGCTGGGGACATGAATAAGACTGTCTGAATGAAAGCATCCAAAAGCATTGAGGAATCTGGCACGGAATGATAGGAACCAGAATCTCCCACCTCCTCTTGACTTGGCAGCATTTTCTTTTTGTCTTTTTGCTAAACAGGTTTTTAAGATACCTAACTGAAAAGGAGGCGTTCTTAACAATGAAGTCAGTCTCCTAGGGTGTTTTCCATTTTTAAAGTTATGTATCACTTTAGAAGACATAAGAATGAAATATGAACTGCTTCGTGAAGGTTTAAAAGTGTCAGTTATACTTTACATTTATAAAGAAATAAAACATTTGGGGGTTAACTGAAGATTGGGTGGGTGTCAGATTTTTTAGTTTGGAGTTCCTGGTTTGGTTCAGTTTAAGCTTTTGCTCTTTGACTCTGCTTGACGAGTGGATGCTGCTCTCCCTGTTTACATAAGACCAAACAACTCCCCCTGCTCCTCTGTGGACATGAACAGGAGAAGGGGGCTGACGAGCAGACAAGTCATCTGGACACAGACAGCTGGAGCAGGTTGTGCACAGGTGGCTTTAGCATTGATAGACTTGATTTCTCTCTCTTTTTCAACTGCACTCGTGGAATAAAGCTCCTTCCTTTTCACACTTGTTTTTGTTATTTCAATAGGAGAAAATTTCCAGTGGAGTGGTGGCAGTTGTAATTTTGTTTACAAAACAAAGAGAAGAGAGTATGATTATGGAAACCTTCTTAACTTTTCAAGTACTCTATCTTCGATTATTTTTCTTTAAAGACATTGGACAACAATGCAAGGAAATCCCGATCTTAGTCTCTATCCTTTGCTAGTCCATCAGTGTCAGCGAGAAGCCAGTTTTGTTATCTGTAAAGTGCACATTTAAATTTCTTCCGTTGACAATTCCATGGGATTTGTGGCAACAAATATTGAATAATATGCATGAATATTCTAGAGCACCTTAAGTTATTTTAATCATTTGAGTTTTTCTTCTCTTCCTCCAGCTCCTCCTCCTCCTTTTTCTAACAGGGTTTCTCTATGTTGCTCAGGCTGTCCTCAAACTCACAATCCTCCTGCCTTAGCCTCCTAACTGCTGGGTTTACAGGTGTGCACCACCATACCCAGCTTGATGTGTCTTCTTTCTCTGCTTTTGGTCTTATTTAAATTTTAGGTTTGATATCTTTTCTGAACAACTTCTATTTCCTCATCTGCTCCTGATAGATTTTAAATTTTGAATCCCTGTTTGATAGAAAGAGAAAGAATGGATTTTATAATCAGAGGCTTTCTTTGTGTGTTTCAGCATGTTCCTATTAGGTAGGGCCCCAGAATGTCTCTGTATTTGAATGATAAAACTGACCTCCAAGGCCTGTAGTCATTAGTTGTTTTGTTTTAACCTATTTTAATTTTTCTTCATGAGTCCACTCACATCCCAAATCATTTCAAGCCAAGATGGGTGTTGTAACTGGGTGCACAGCTGGTCATCCACGTGAGATGAGTGGGAGCGTACATGATTGCCCCAGATGGCCTATGATCTAAAACTCAGACCATCAGAAAGTTTTGGTTTGTTGAAGAACAGGTGAATTCATTTGGGGAACACAGTGATTGAAAAGGTGGTGGGAAGTGAGGCCGGATGTCAGGCAGGGCAGACCAGGTGTGTGTAGGGGTGTTGGATGTAGTTGTGGTTTGTCCCCCGAGAGAGGCTTCGTCTCTAGTGTGGCAGTGTTGGGTTGGAGCCTTTAAGTGGCAGGGTCTAGTGCAATGTAGTCAGGTAATTCGAGCACCATCCTTGGAAGGGATTAATGTAGGTCTTGATGGTCGGAACTAGTTCCCGTGAGAACGTGGTGTTGTAAGTGAGCCTGGCACCTTTCCCAATCCCTCTGCCACATTCACTACTCACCACTCCTCACATTCTCCAACCTTTGCGATGTCATCTGTCATGATGGCCATACCAGAGCCAAGCAGAACTGTGAGCTAAAGAAACTCATGTCTTTATAAAGCACCCAGACTCAGGTATTTTGTAAAAGTATTAGAAAATGGACTAAGATAGATACTTGTTGTCATGGCCCACTTATTTTACAGATTTTTAGTCTCCATTCAAACTCTACCATCCTATCCTTCTGGTCAGATCCTCTCCTTAAAGGGTAAGAAGACTTCAATTGGTGTCAATCCCACTACTTTGTAATTTAGCTGAGTCATGACCACTTTGGACCTCAGGTTTGCCCTTATCCCATAGTCCCCTTTATGTACAGTTTTGCTTTCTTTGGATTCAGTGATCTGTAGTTGGCTACAGTTCAGAAAAACAGTAGGTGGAAAATTCCAGCAATAAACAGTTCACTTGTTTTAAATGGAGCATTCTTCTAAGTCGTGTGATGAAATCTTGTGCTGTCCTGCTCTGTTTGGCTAAGTCTGCCACATCTGTGCTGAATACGCTGTGATGACAAAACACCACGCTACCTTCTAAAGCTGTCTAAGAAGGCTTTCCTGCAGCCTCGGCTCATTGGGTCTTCCCTCTTGCCACCAGAAGGAGATCCGCCATTGTCCTTGGTGCTGGTGTTTGCCAATCTGGATTGCCCAGGACATCTTTTTCCACTGTTTATAGTATTAATTTACTATGTGCCATGCTTATGTAATTTTGTTTCCTTACATACTCACTGTTCATGGTCAGGAGACAACTCTTAATCTTCTTTATCATTGGTCAGTGTGTACAGGAAAGAACACAGAATCCATAGAATTCACTGCTGTCTGCTGTTTCAGGTGTCCACGGCGGGTAGTGGGACTTATTCCCCGTGGACAAGGGAGGGCTACTGCAGTGTAAAATTAGGTTCAGTGGTTTCTAAGTTCTCTCTTTGCCTTTTGGAGCCATGATGGACTTTGCATCATAAACAAGAAAAAAATATCCAGGTTGTTTACATGTGTTTATTTTATTGGTTTGCTTTAGATCGGGACCATTGTTGGTGGGGTCCTCCTTCTGGTGGTCATGGTTGCTGGAGTGGTGCTGGTGAAGGAATCTTGGAATTCAGATATCACCCTTCTAAGCATCAGTTTCATCTTCCCTTTGATTGGCCATGTCACTGGCTTTCTGCTGGCACTCCTTACCCACCAGTCTTGGCCAAGGTACAGTTACATTTTTCCATAAGCTTTTTGCCTGTGTGTGGTGGTGATAGGGTTTGAACCCAAGGCCTTGTCATGCTGGGCAAGTGCTCTACCTCTGAGCTACCTCCTCCAGCCCCTATCTGCTTTTCTGAGGAAGGTAAATCCCACACATTGCCCTGGCGGGCTCTACTGCCTTGGCTATGTCAGGAGCCAGAAAGAATTTGAACTCACATGGTGTTTGGAATAGGACAGATCAGCAGAAGTGGGTGGAGAGACTGTGGTAATTCTTTATGTAAAGTAACACAAAGGTCCTAATGATGGGAGCTGATAATTTGAGAAATTAGGATTGGGGTTGTAATGCCAGGTGTTGCGATCTGGATACATTTGTCTTTGCCTTCCAATAATTAAACAGAAGGAATGAGGGTATTTCACTAAATATAGAGATCTTCTAAGGCATTAACAAGTTTCAAGAAATTAAGTCTTTTAGCCAAATTTTTAAAAATTACTAATTATGAAACTCAAGAGGAGAAAGACAACAAACAGTGAAAGCATAAGAATTTGTCTTAAATATTTTCATTAAAAGTTGGGGCATATTGTCTATAAATATTGTGAAGTATTAGAAGTGATATCACTCTAGGTTGACATGCCTATATTGAGATAAATGTGGTCATACAATAATGGGGAACGAATATTGGTATAAATTTTCTAGAAGGCAATTTAGTGTTGATATTTATCAACAGCCTAATAAACATTCATGGTTGCTGACTCAGTAATTTTGCTAATTTATTTATTTTTTGAGACCTATCTTAACTTTGTAGCACAGACTGGCCTCAAACTTGTGATCCTCTTGCCTCAGCCTTCCTCACCCGGAATTACAGACATGTGCCACCACATCTGGCAGTAATTTAACTTTTAAAGCTAGCTCTATCATTTATGCACATGAATATTGAATGCTAAGATGTTAATTGCAGTTATTAATAAATATAACAATATATTAATAAATATAATATAATAAGTATTAAATATAAAAGTGCAGCAAGTTTAATGATTTTGGAAGATATTCAAGAGATAAATTTTAATTAAAAAGTTTACAAAATAATATTTATTTTGACTTCCCACTTTGTGGAAGAAAGCAAAAACATTTCTGTGGATGGAAAAGTACGGAAGAAATACACCATATGGTAATTTTGACCAGAGAGAGTAAGGGTAGTTTTAGTTTTTTAGTGTTTTCTAAGTTTTACAATGAGTATTATAAAGTTTTTATTAAATAAAGTTTTGCAGTAAGCATTGTCAATATGTTCAAATTATTAAAGAAAAGTAAATCATGTTGCTGAATACCAAAGGTGGGGGATGGGAATGTCTTGGTTTGCTTTATCCAAACTACTTCCCTTCCAGTGTGGAACATTTTGTTGTGTCAGCACTGGGAAAGGCTCCACCTGGTACACCTGGCTGACTTCTTAGGACCTTGAGAGGGAGGGGCTGTCACTACCCTCATTCCACTGATGAGCAAACCCTCCAGAGCAGTCCAGCAACATAACCAAGTTCCTAGAGTTTGGATTTGACCCGGGTTTGTTTCCAAAGTGAACAATTAGGAACACAGACTGTGGAATGGTTGCGTTTTGCAAGATGTGGAGAGAAAGTCCTCCTGTGGTGAGGTGCAGTCAGCACTCCGGGCTTTCTCACACTTGATGGCCTGACAAAGATGAGTGCTGAGCTGTCACACGTCTCTTCGAGAACCTCCGTCACTCCTTAATTCCTGTGTGTAAAAGCCTGCAGACTTAGTTCAGCCCCCAGGCTCCTGCCCATGCTTCCTTTTTCTCTCCTTTGTCAGTTTTGCATCTGTTTCCCAGTGTTTGGCTTGTCCTGCTTCACACTTCTGACTCAACCTCCCTTTCTGCTGTCCTCCAGGGCTCCCTCCATGAGACTAGCTTGCAGACGGCAGAGCTCCTGCACAGCTGAACTCACACCTGCTCCTGGCCCTTTAGTTTCTGTGGCTGCCCTCCTTCCATCCTGTGCTCCCATTCCTCCACGAAGCCTTCTTCTCTAACCACGTCTGCACCTTGCTTGAATGTCCCCGTCCCCCAGTTATGCTTTGCCTTGTGCAGTTCCAGTGCCCTTCTGGTGTGTCTTGTCTCTGTTCACCAGAACCCCAGGGCAGGGTTCACAAGGCCTGGACTCCACTCCACAGAGAAGGCACCCAGCACACAGCTGTTGACACACAAACCCTTTCAGTGGCCTGAGCTCCTATCTTCCATTTATTATGGCACCTAGGAGGAAGTTGAAGCCTAGTCTTAGGGAGGGTTTGCAACTTTCGAGCTGTTCTCCTCTCCAGGTGCAGGACGATTGCGCTGGAGACCGGTGCTCAGAACATCCAGATGTGTACCACCATGCTGCAGCTGTCCTTCTCTGCGGAGCACCTGGCCCACATGTTTTACTTCCCGCTGGCCTATGGGCTCTTCCAGCTGCTCGATGGATTCCTTCTTATCGCAGGTGGGTGAGCTTGGGCTGGGTAGACCTGACAAGTAGAGTTGAGTCAGTTTCACACTTGACTGAAAAATCAGTGGACCTGTTACCAGCCCTCACTTTTCAATGCAAACTCGCATGAGTCGCTCCTGGCACTTTGGGGACAATAAAGTGCATAAACAGGCTACTTTGATGAAGTGGGAGTTTCACAGAAAAATATTTTAAAAACCTGAGCAACAGGTTACATTTAGAAACAAAATATGCTTCAGTGTACTCTTGGAACTTAATTCCAGGAATTCTGAAGACAAGGTCTCTGTGAGCAATCACTGATCTCAAAAATGACATTTGGGAGGGGTGTGGTGGCACACACCTGAAATCCCAGACACTTGGGAGGCAGAGATAGGAGGATAACAGTTTGAGGCCAGCTCAGAGAAAGAGTCAGAAAGACCCCATCTTAATAAGCAAGTTGGGCATAGCATAGATAGGAGGTATGGCATAAGTAGGAGGATTGTGGTTCCATGCAGTCAGGGCAAAAGTGCAAGACCCTATTTGAAAAATAACCTAAGTAAAAAGGGCTGAGGGCATGGCCCAAGTGCTAGAGCAAGACTGAGGCCATGAGTTCAAACCCCAGTAGCACCTCCTGCCAAATGACACTCAACCAAACATAAGCATTTATTTGTTGTCTCTTTAAAAGCCTGGGGGTTTCCCAAATGCCAAGTTACTGTGGTGTTTCTGTGACTAAGATTAATGCTAAATGGCTATGAAATAGTTTTCAAACACAAAATACACTTACAAGCACAGATACTGAGATTTTATGCACAAATGAATGTATTCAGAGTTTACCTAGCTGTACAGCCAAACATACATTATTTTGGATGTAATCACTATGTAGGTTTGCAGAAGGTAAATTAAAAAGTGTACGTTTAGATATATGCATACACATACACATGTAAAATATACATCCATATGTATATTTTAGTCTTGGGCTGTCGTAAATTTTTATTGTTGTCAGGTAACAGCTCTGAGTAAGATTGAGTGGTTACTGATAAAACCGATTATGTACAGAATACTGATTTTTATATGCTGATTACTGATACAATAACATAAGAACACAAGGGATGCTTGGAGTTTAGTGTTTTTTTTCTCTTATGAGGAAAGAGAAAAGTTATCAGAATAAAACTCCTGGGCTAGACCCACGTTTTGGGGAAGTATCACGTCAGACTAATTTCCAGCTGCATCTGAGCACCTAGGCGAGTGCCTGCCTCACAGTAAATGCCCCACAAGGGTTTGCTGAGTGACTCAATGAGTGAATGAATGCTGGCAAGCGACCTGATGAACTGTCTCAAATCCAGACAGAAAGAGCCATTCTAATAGACTGAGTCATTTTGTTCCACAGCTTTCTCTTTCTCCTTCTTTACCTATGATTTATCCGTAACGGTGCAAAACAAACAAACCCCCAAAGTACACACAGTATACAATGTCCCCAAGTTGTACTCTTTGCTAAAGTGGTTTTGAACACTTGTCTTTTTCATCACCCAGCGTATCAGGCATGCAAGAGGAGACGGAAGCGCAAAGACAGGAGGAAGCCCCCAGCCTGCACAGTGGCCCACCACGAGAAGGAGCCCAGGGAGACCGGTGCTTTCCTGGAGGGCAATGAAGAAGCTGCTGTAACTCTTGGGCCACCAGAGCCCACGTGCTGCCATGGGGCCCTTGAGCCAACTGGCCGCAGCACTCCTTGTGAACAGGAGGGACTTGCTGGCCGGTAAAGGTGGTGCAGACTGGTCCATGCATCTGGTTGGCAGGGCTGTGTGGCCGTGTAAGGGTAAATGTCAGAACAGTTACGTTTTTGCCTGGATTGTGAGCTGTGCTAGGAGACTCTCTGAGCAGGTGGCCTCCCACGCACAAGCTCTTCCGGGGGTTGGCACATGTGCCAGCTGCTGCAAGGGTTCTTGTCTTCCAAGCAGTGAGAAGTGCCCGGCAGTAATGGCCTTCACCATGTGAAGCGGGCCTCGTGGCCTGGATCTTAATCCACGAGTTAGGACTCTGGAGGAGATGTCACCTCCCCTTGCAGGGCCAGGCAGAACCGGGATCCCCGAGACTTCTTGGCTTTGGCCAGGTGCTTTGGTGCATGAGGGAAGAAACATGCAGCTTTTGTGAAAAAGGGGCTTATCTGAGTGTGAGTTTTGAAAGTTTGTGTCTGTTTTGATGATAGATGTAATACAGGATTAGAGGGAATTTAACAAAAACAAGAGGTTAAAAAGTGAGGGTCCTGTACCTTCACTCCCTAGACAGACACACAGATGTCCCTTGAATCTACACATGCATGCTGAATCATTCCCAGACATCGAGATTGTTCCCTACACACTGCTTTGCAGGTCACTTGGTGACATATTCTGGAATGTCTTTACATGTCAGCCTGTGCTCCCCTACCTCATTTGTTAATGGAAGTATTGCATTGCACAGAAGGACGGACTGTGACTTATGTAAGCCATCCTATTCGTGGGCATGCAGATATTCCTGTAGAGACACGGAGAGCCCTGGTCTGGCTGTGGCTCCCTCCTGCCACTTGTGACGCTGGGCAGGTCACTCTCTGGCGATGTTGCACAGCTGTCCTGAGAGGGTCAGATAAGTCTCACCAGTCTAAGGAATGCTGCTGACCATTTTGATTTGTGAAAACATCTCATTTAAAATTACATTTTCAAAATTGTGAATGAATTAGAACATTTTTCACGAGCACCTCCTTACTGTGTCCTTCGCCTGTTTGTCTACCGTATTTTTCACTTTTATAGATTTTAACATGCAAGGGTAGCAGCTATGTATTTGCCCTAGGTATTGTCAACATTTTATGTACTCTGTCTCTTATTTCTTGTTTTCCTATGTCTTTTGCTGTTTTGTGTTTTACATAATCAGCTTTGTAAGTCTTTTTTTTTTTTTTGAACCCAGGGCCTCACACTTGCTAGGCAAATGTTCTCACACTGGAGCTATGCTCTCAGTCTGCTTTACTAGTCTTAAAAAAAAAATCTTTTAAAAATGCCAAATGTTAGAATATTTGTGTTTTGTGTGGAACATGAATTGTCTTATGATCCCTTTTGGAGAATGTATTTGGTCCCCTTTCATGGAGTTCTTTTGGGAACTCACACAACATATTTACTGCTGCTGTGTGTACTTTTTGTTTTCCTCTGCAATAAACGGTGCCTGGCAGTGGGTAAAATCCACCCTTCTCTATTGAGCCATTATCAAAAATATTTTCCCATAAATTTTTCTATTATTCTCATGGACAGAATATGTACAGATTTATTCCATTTTGAATCTATTTTTTAGTATGGTGTGTTAAAAATCTAGTTTTTATTTCAACATCATATATTGAATCCTTCATCTTTGTTCCCCTAGTTGGAACGCCATCTGTAGCACTTGACTTCCTGGATAACATGTTTTTATTGGGACTCTGGTTCCATTTTGTGTCTATTTTTATTTGTGAGCTTTGAAATGTATGAGAAAGCGTACTATCTGGTATTTAATGCTTTTCAGTTTTGTTTCATAAGTATTCCCGTTAACTTGTGGGTTTGTATGATGTCTGAATATTATGGCATTTATAATTCAGAACATCTTTGTATAGATGGATCCCCATTAAGTCTTGGAGTGACAAGCACCTTTTGTGTGGAAAAGGGCCTCCTTGGGGATCCCCACTTGTCCACTCGATAAATGCTTCCTGAGAAGCTAGTCTGTGACACGTACAGGAACACGGGACATACAGCAGTGAGGCAGAAAGAGTTCTTGCCTTCAGGAGTCCAGAGTCTAGGGAAGAAATGGGCCACTGCGAAGGACATCATGATAGCGCTGAGTTGAAGCAATGCTCATGAGTACAGAAAATGAATTTCTAAATAGTTCTCTACATAGACACCTCACACAAAATGGTAAGCTTCAATGCTCTATTCTGGAAGTGTTGATATGGTTGATACCCCACCTCTCTCCATCAGGATAGGGTATCTCTAGGAAGAAGGACCGGTCTACCAAGGCCCCCTTTAGGCTAGAAACAAAATCAGTGTCAGGGCTTGCAATGTCCCTTAGAAGTCTGCCATTCTCCAGAGCTTGTGGACTGTCAGGAAGAAGAACTGGAAACATCAGGCTGCCCAGGAGGCCACACATGGTCATAGGACAAGGACAAGGAATTTAACTATAAGAAAGCTCTAACTGTGTCTTAACTGATCCGAATAATCAGTTAATATAGTAATACTAAAAGCTGGGAGCCAAGTAGAATTCAGAAGTGAGTGTCCTGGGCAGAGGGCTAATGTGACATGGAAGGAGTCCAGCTCTGTGTCTGGGAGAGCCAGCTGGACTCAAGGTGAGGCAGCAGGTGGAATGAACAAACATGAGCTGCCCAGGGTGGCCACTACGTCATGTGAAGAGCTGGCAGCTTCTGGAGCTGGGTGGAAGCTGGCCAACCCAGAGCTGAACTTCCCCTGATCCTTTGCATAGCATTGGGCGAGTCCAATCCCCTGGGCTTCAGTTTCCTCTCGCAGGAAGGAGGTAACAAGGGGGTCAATCCTGACCCCCTAAAACATAGGTAGTATGAAACACCTGTATAACAAGAGGTCCACCCCCTTCTCTTGCTCTGTTTTACGTGTGCTCTTTCTCTCAGAAATACTGCTTATACAGACAGGGTCATTTAAGCTGGCCACACTTCTGCCTCTGGGCCACCTGCTGATCAGCCTTTGTATCTGGACCCATCAGACCACATGGTCTGTCAGTGTTGTGAGGGTTTGTGTAGTGCAATCTTGGGACTACATCTCATTTTGTGTGGATGAATAAAACTGTTTCCAAACCTATAAAACAAGACTGCTTTCAAATCTGTATCTACAAACTTCTTCAACAGTCACAAAATTGGATGCTCTGCATTCATATCTTAAAATATTGACACAGAGTTGATATGAAGGAGTGGAAGAGACTGAGGTAGAAATGGAGAGGCACACTACTTGCTGCCACCCAGCATCAATGGCTTGCTTTGTCCTTATTAACAGAACCAAGATTTCACGGTAATATGCCTAGCTAAAAATAATTTTCTTGAAACCAGTCACAGTTCTTCGTAGTAAGATAGATGCAGAAGTCTGCTTATGTTGTCTGAGAAACCCTGCTTTCTTGCCCTAAGCACTGACTGACTCTTCCTCCTATTTCTTTTCTGGAATGTGGATGCAGCAGTCATTTTCACACCACAAAGGAATGGCCAGAATGATTACAGAGCTATTAGCATTATTGAGTTATAGAATCTGTGCTAGCAATGGTCTACATTTGAACTGGCTTTCTTTTTATGGGCAGCACTGGGGCTTGAACTCATGGTCTCATGTGTGCTAGGCAGGCAGTCTACCACTTGAGACACTTGGTCAGCCCCTGAACTATTAAGGAAAGAAAATAAACCTAGTGGCTATTTTTTTTTTTTTTTTGGTTACCTGCACCCAAATGTAATCCCAAATTGTTACATTAAATTTTCTTGGTCTTAAAATTTTATGCTTATGTCACATTTAGCTCCATCATAAAAAGGTAACTTGAATATTTCTGAATTAAAAAATGGGAGCACTTTCTTTCATTAGCAAGTCCTTATCACTGGAACACAGCTGTGGCAAACTGTTCTTTTAGTTTCTTGGATTTTCACATTACATCTCATTAACTAATTATTTTTAAACCGAGAGATATGGAAGCCAAGCAGGTCAGGCTATCTGGAACCACAGATGTAAAGAAAAAGGTGTGATCTTTTCCTAACACCCATGTCCCTCCTGTGATCATGATAAATTTTATGTTTCTAGTCCTACAATGCTCATGACTACACTAAGATACCATTCTTTAAAAAGAATTAATCTATTAATTGTACACGACAGTAGGATTCACACTGGTATTTCTTTATATGCACACAGTATGCGTCAATCATATCCATCCTCCCTTCTTCTACTCTTGCCACTCTCTCTTCCACCTGCTCCTCATCTCCTAATAATCACTATTCTTTCAGGTCTACTTTTTTTGGTTTCCACATATGAGAGAGAGCATCTGATACTTGTCTATTTCTACCCATTTTGCCACAAATGACAGGATTTCGTTTTTCTTCATGTCTGCATAAAACTCCATTGTGTATATCTGCTATATTTTCTTAATTCATTTACCTGTGGCTGGGCACCTCGGCTATTGTGAGGAGTGCTGCAGTGAACAAAGGTGCGTGAGGCTCTCTTCTGGTGCTGACTTTATTTCTTCTGGGTGGACGCCCAGGAGTGATATAGCTGAGTCACACAGGAGTTGGGATTTTTTGTATTTTGAGGAACTCTCACACTGTTCTTCATTATGGCTATTTTAATTAATATTCCCACCAATAGCATATGAGTTCATTTTCTCCACCTGCTCCCCAGGATTTGTTATTTTCGAATATACAAATTTGGTTCAGTTTTACAAATATCTTTTTTTTTTACAGTTTGTGCTTTCACTCTGAAGCCTGGAGTTGCCATAGGGAAACAGCTGCTGGGCAAGTATGTTTTCCAGCTTTCTTGTCCTCAGGGTCATCACCTGTCTAGTTCTCAGTATGGAATGACTGGCAGTGCTGTGCCTCACTGTCAGGCCTGGCCTGGCTTGGTAACCTCTCCACATGTGGTTCTTGGTCCTCCTTCCCCTATGACTGGGAGAATGAAAATTCCAGGATGACCTTGAAAACTATGTGTTGACCACAGAGCTGCCATCAGCCTGGGTTCAGAGCTGCCCTGCTTGGCTATTCACTTGCCTCAAACTGTTACCTAAACTAGAACTAAACTACCTGTGTGAGGCCTTCTTATATTCTTTGCTTTGTGAGTTCTAGTGCTCGCTAATACAAGGGCTGTTTGGGCAGACTATGTACTTAGCCATTTGCGTGGCGAAGATTTGAGCCTCCATGCGCCACCCCAGCTCTATGGCCTCACCTTGCTTTCCACCCAGAGTGGCCCTAGCTTTTTATGGTGGTGGAGCCCGATCCTAGATGAGGGTGATGATATGCTTGTAATAAGGCTTCTATCCTGGGCTCTTAACCCAACCTGCATTTCTTTCCAGTTCCATTTCCTAGCTACCTTCTTTTCAGAGAAAGTCTGCTCAGCACTGCGTGTTCTCATCTCTGCTGGCTTCAGATGTCAGCTTGTCAGTGCAGCAGTGCTGGCTCCTGGGCCCTGCTGGCCTGGCCTCATTCATACATTCTGACAGGGAAGCAGGCCTCATGACTCCAGTTAACCCACAACAGTGTTTTCAAAAAAATTTTTTTTTCTCCCAAATGATAATTTTGGCTACAGCTCAGCCTCTAAACATTCTTCTGTTTGAGGTCGGAATGGTGGGGGAGCTTCTCTCACCAGATTCAGCACTGGTTCTGAGGTAGCTTCCAGACTCATTGCCTGGTGGAATCAAACATCTCACCATGGAGCTTT